GGGAGATCCACTTGTTCACGATCTTCGACTATTGTTATAAGTGTCAGGCTTACACTGTTGAGGTAAAAAACGATACGATGAGCAAAATGGTTTGCTAACATCATGAAAAGAAAGACTACTAACGTTTCACCACCTTCAATGAATGCCTTGAATTTCCTGGGCTTGAATCCAGAGGTTGGGTTACTGAGTTTGAATGGCCAAAGGAAGTTGTTAACTTGTTTAAAGTTAGGACCAACGGTGATGATCTCATGAACGATATCTTCAATGGAGATGATTCCGTATTTGCCCAAGTGTTCTTCAATGAGAGCATTGTCGGACAAAGGAATACGTTGCTTGTGGATCTTTCCGTAACCACGCTTGTAGATCAACTCCCGAACAGTCTTGAGGTTAGGTTCTCTGTTCAAAAAGCCTGCGAGTCAGAATTATGAAACTGGAAGACATCTCGGAAATCAAGACAAACCCGTAAGTAACATATGGCTCAATGAGTTGAAGCATCTGTGTGGTAGCACGGGTGACTTTAAGGAAGACACCATTGTTGATTTGCAACAATCGAAGAAGTTGAAGAGTCTTTCGTGGCTTAGGAGCAAGCTTGTTAATACTGCGAACGATCGAATGGGAGTAACGGCGAACTTCGGTCAGCTCTTGAATGATGGAAAGGTGGCCTAGACAGGGCTAAGGACGCACCCCCTCAGCCTGACAACGAAGTAGACCTTAGGCTCCGCTGGTACGTAAAAGTCACCAGCAGCCTAAATAAACAGAAGACAGAAGCTATTAGCAAAGACTTGGGACAAGTAGGCATCAGAAGGAAATCCCTTACCTTGGCAACACGGCGAAGTCGGATTTGTTCACGCTCAGCACGTCGGTACTCGTTGACATACTGTTCAGCACGTTTGAAGACAACTTGGCGTTGAGCCTTTCGAGCCTATTGAGATGTAAACAAGACTGTCAGCGGGATCGAGAGAGAAATCAAGGATGTTCACGTTGGCTCAGACCCGAAAGATGGTTAATTATACAAATAGTTTTAAGCATTGCGTTTCTGAGGCGCTTAGCCAGAGTTGTTTTGTCCATCATTGCCAGTGAAGAATCATAATGATACTAAAAAAAATGTGATCTTGAAGATGACTAACCTTGCGAGCCTCGATAGACTTGGCGATCTTCTCTTCTCGGGTCTTTTCATTGACCTTTCGCTTTTTGAGAAGAGTTTCAGGGACAAGCACGTCCTGTGCGACTGGAACTGAGCTGAGATAGAGAAATCAATCGTCTTCGTTAGAGATCAGAGTCGATTTTGAAGATTGTTAATCTTGGGATGAGGGAATAAACACAAACGTCGAAGCCATCGGATCTTGAGGTGGTTGTCGGGTGTCGAGGGTGAGGTGCAAAGCTGTGCTGGCTGTGAAGTTTTGATAAATCCGAGCGACGCCACATTCGATGGTCTCATCATCCGATACTTAGGTCTAGCAACACTACTGGTTAGGTCTTTTACTCGCAGTCCGCAGCTGCATCGTCCATTTTGGATAGCGACAGTCCTCGGGCTGTGACCCAGCCATGGCCCTGACTTGCCGAGTCCGCCCATGAATTTTTTGGGCTAGGTTTAGGCCGAGCCCGGTGCCTTAAGTTCAGCTTGACGATAATGAGAATAGCCCCGTTTCAGGGCTACTCAGGGCCAGGGCCGTCAACCAAATAATTGTGGAGGCATTGCTGGAGGCTTGTTGAGGCAATTCTCAGGAAAAATTGACGTCATCAAGCCTCATCAAGCATCCGTCCTGAGCTCTTGAACAGGCTTAAAAACGGCTGGGACAAGCCGGGGCCTGCCCGGTGCTTCCCGGCAGCAACCTCAAGGGTGTCGTGGCCGGGTCCGGGTCATACCCCTAGACAGACTAGATGTGGGAAATTCAAATGCATCATCACCTCAGAATGGGGAGCATTGGACTTTTGTATGTCTTGTGATGATTATCACGTGATAATTATCATGTTAATTATCACACAATAATTATCATGTGATAAAACATAATAACATATAGACATCACATGGTACATGCATAGCTGTGTATCCTGTCATTATCTTGTCATACTTGTTGGGCCTTGCTGTGCACGGGGCTTGTAGATCACTCTTGCCTTCAGCTCATGACCTCCCCCAAACCATACCTTCACAAACTCCTCCGTCATCTCATCCACATGTTGTTAAGGACCGTGATGCTTGAGAGATGCAAGGAAGCTGTGAAGGGTGTCCTCTAGTAGATAATAGATTGCAACGTGAAGAGCAGTAAAAAGTCTGCTCAACAGAACTCCAAGTATGCAGAGATCTCAGTACAAGCATATAGTCTAAGTATAAGAATACGGCTCATAACACCACTCCCCCTTTTATGACTCGACCCCCTCTTGACAGGCCAGCATCTTTCCACGGGTTAGCATTAAAAACCCAGTGGGAAAAGCTTCACCCTCACGTCTTTCTCCGTACCCTGCGGTATTGTTGTTCTGCTTGAGGATATTTCTCATTAAATTCTTTTACCAAATCTTGTGCGTTGCTCATTGCAGCTTCTGGTTCCCATGAGTCATGACTTGGATCATACCCTTTCCAGCTAATTAGGTATTGTATTTTACCTTTGTTAAGTCTTTTGTCTAAGATTTCTGATATCTCGAATTCTTCATTATCTTGAATTATGACTGGTAGTGGCGGGTCTTGATGTTGATTTTCAATCTTGCTAACATCGAATTTCCTCAATAAATTGACGTGGAACACTGGGTGAATTAGTTCCATTGATTTCGGGAGATCTAATTTGTACGCATTAGTAGACACACGATTTAGTATTGAAAATGGTCCTAACCAGCGATGTGAAAACTTAGCAGTAGGCCTTGTTGTTGATATATTTTTGCTATTCAACCATACTTTCGTTCCAATGTCCCATTCCGGTGTTTTAGATACCTTCTTGTCATGTTGTTCAGTCATTGCGTCTTGAGCTAATTGCATCGCGTCTTTCAATTCTTTTTGAATGTCGTTGATTTGCCTCATTCGAGCTTCCACAGAGGGTAGACATTGGTCTCCTGAAGGGATGTCGGTGAAACTGACATTGTAACCGTAATTGGCCTTGAACGGCGACATACCTATTGAAACATGATCGTTATTATTGTAAGAGAATTCAGCCATAGGCAATAATGAACTCCAATCGTCTTGTTTGTATGATGTGAAGTGTCTTATGTATTGTTCAACTACTTTGTTTGTAATTTCCGACTGACCGTCTGTTTGAGGATGATATGCGGTTGAAGATTGCGTGATTATACCCAGTCTTTTATTGATATCTTTTGTAAGCTTTGAAATGAAAATGTTACCTCTGTCCGACGTGATTGTTTGAGGTGTTCCATGAATCCTCCACACGTTCTTGATCATACAATCAGCTAATTCGTCAGAACTCATTGTTTTTCTGCATGGTATAAAATGTGCCATTTTCGTTAATCGGTCTACCACAGTTAATATGCTGTCGTGTCCTTCAGATTCCGGTAAGTCTGTTATAAGATCATAGCATACATCTAGCCATGGGCCTCTTGGGATTGGTAGAGGTTTGAGGCTTCCGAATGGTTTTGACGTTCTTGATTTGACACGTTGACACGATTGGCAACCATCAACATACTGATTTGTAAATGCTTTCATTGACGGCCAGTGGTACCCACGTTTTAACAGTGCTAATGTTCTCATTCTGCCGGGATGTCCTGCCAGTCGACTGTCATGGCGAGAGCGTAAGATCTGGACTTTCAATTCAGAATCATTTGGCACGACCACCTTTCCTTTAAAGTACAATATGTCATCAATTACCCTGTAGTCCTTAGTTATCTTTGAGAATGATGGTTGTTCACATAATTTCATAAGTTCAATAATTTTTGAGTCATTCTTTGTTTTGCTTCTGATTTCACCCAAGATCTCCGTATCGTTTAAGATATTTTCGTTCATTTCAGCGTCAAGTATTTCGATATCATCTCCTTTTCCATCGTCCAAGAACCAGTTCTCTATGAAATCAAGCTCGTCAATGAATGCGTCGCGTGGTAAATTTTGGGGTTTGAGGAGTTGTCCAAATGACAGTTTCTCAGAGCTTGACGGCATAAGGTCTGGCCTTCTCGACAGAGCATCGGGTTTAGTTGACTGCTTGCCTGGTCGAAATCTGATTTCGAAGTCGAAGCTCCCTAATATTTCCGCCCAACGAGCTTGGCGTCTTGTTAATTCCTTGGTCGTCATCAGAGATTCAAGATTCTTATGGTCAGTGTAAACTATCACATTTAATCTATTAGGATTTCCCTCCAGATATTGCCTCCATTCCTTGAACGCTGAGATGACAGCCAGTAGTTCCTTGTCGAATATTTCATAATTTCGTTCAGCCTTGATAAGGGATCGTGAAAGGAATGCTACCGGATGTAGCTCACCGTCGTCTTGGGAAATTTGTGATAAAACAGCGCCTAAGGCATAGTCAGAGCAATCACACTCTAGAACAAAAGGCCTATAAGGGTCAGCGATTTTTAAAATAGGTGCTGTGGTGAATGCTTTTTTGAGGAGTTGAAAGGATTCTTCACGGTCTTTGGTCCATTCAAATTTAGTTTCTTTTTGAGATAGTTCGTGTAGCGGACGTGCTATTTTTGAAAATTGACTGATGAAACGGCGATAGAAATTGGCAAACCCAATGAATGTTTGAACCTCTGAGACGTTACGAGGGGTAGGCCAGTCCGTTACTGCTTTGACTTTGGTGTGATCCATCTTGATTTGATTTCGTGAAATCACTAATCCCAAGTAACTAATTTCCTTTTTCGAAAACTTGCACTTCTCAGGTTTAAGCCATACATTTTGCGCTTTCAGTATCTCTAAGACTTCTTTGACAATTTTCTGATGATCTTCACCTCTCTTCGTGTAAATTAAAATGTCGTCTTGATATGCAGCTACATTTCTTCCAATATGATTTTTTAAAATATCTTGGATGAAATACTGGAAAAACCCTGGTGCGCCTGTTGGACCAAAGGGCATAGTTAATGGTTCGAATTGTCCTTGTTTACAAATAAATGCAAGTTTTGCTTCGTCACCTTCCCTTACACGTAAGTTATTGTAACCATTTCTCATATCTAAGCTTGTGAATTCGTCAGAGTCAAGTAAACTATCTATAAGTTCCATAGTTAACGGTAGCGGATATTTATTCTTGATTGTTAAAGCATTGAGTCTTCTATAATCAAAACAAGGTCGCAGACTGCCATCCTTCTTTCCTGTAAACAATACAGGGGCTGCCCAAGGTGAAGTAGTCCTACGTATCGTGCCATTCTCAAGGCCTTTATTGAGCATTTCATCCAGTACTGCACTTTCCTTTGGTGACAACGGTATGACTCTTCCAGCTTGGGGAGTTGCTCCTGGTAAGAGATCAACGCGGAAATTGTAAGGGCGATGTGGTGGTAAAACATTTGATTTGTTTTTCTCAAACATGTTTAAGTAAGCGTGATAACAATCCGGAACTAGTTCAGCAGCTGATTTTTCGGGTATCTTCTTTGCTTCATCTGCGTTCAGTTTTGCCGAAATATTCCATGAAGCACTTGCTGCAGCAATTCGTGACTTTGTAGGGTGTTGCATTGTTAGTAATTTGGAATATAATGTTCTTGACGTCGCGAACTGGCCTATTCTTTTGGACGGCACTCTGCAGTTTCCCTGTAGGAGAGAGGAATGCTTGCTCATTGCTTCTTGGGAACAGTTAGGATTGACTTTAAAAGACTCACTCTGCGGGGGTATTAGCGAGTCATTTTTGATCTCTACCCCCTCGTCACTTTGCCTAGCGTGCCTATCAGGCTCCAATCCATGGTCCTTCAAGGGGTTTTCCGGCGTGGACGACGTTGTGCTTACAACGGCAGCGAGGTTGGATGGTTCGGAATTGGTGCTTTGGAATTCTAGGAGGTGTTTAAGCTTGCAAACTGTTGTAGGATCTTGTGATGGAACCGAGAAATACTCACATTGCGGGGGTATTAGCGAGTCATCACTGATCTTTACCCCCTCGTCACTTTGCCTAGCGTGCCTATCAGGCTCCAATCCATGGTCCTTCAAGGTGGTTTCCGGCGTGGACGACGTTGTACATGCAACGGCAATTTCAAGTGATTGATTTAAGATCTTGCTTTCAGTCCAACTGATTCGTGTATGATTTAGCTTGATCCATGGCATTCCTAAGATGAGGTCGTATTTGTCTCTGAGATTTGTGACAATGAATGTGGTTTGATGACTGTCTTTGTTAACACAGTAGTCACCTGTGTGCGTCACCTTAGATTCGTGTCCACTGAATCCAGTGACACTGTGAGAGTGCGGCAAGGGAGCTGTTTCAAGATTATGAAGTTTTACAAAATTCACACTTATTGCTTCATGTGTGGCACCGCTATCAATGAGAGCTCTAGCGGTGACAGTTGTGTCAGTTTTTGGGTCATAGAGAGGGATAATATCAATAATACGTGTATCTTTCATTTCAAGACTATCAATATCACCAACTTCTACTCCTAAAGAAAAAGTGCTCGAGGAAGGCACAACAATCAAACTCGAGCTTCTCCATTTTTTGACACATCAGACCTTGATTCTTCTTTCTCTACACTTTTGACTTCTGATAATTTACTATCTAATTCAGCTATTCTTGCTTTTAATCTGTTAACTTCATTGCTTCTATAACCCCCACCATTTCTTCTCTTTTTCTCAGGACAATCAGCAATTAGATGACCACGCCTTCCACATTCATAGCAAGCACCTGTTAAACCTCTGCGTCGATACTCGTCAGTAGATATGTTGAGACGATATGCTGAGCAATCCATTGCATCCGGATCGCTTGCAGAAGTTGCGGTAGTAGTAGTTAAGGGACTGTGATTGAGTGTTGTGTTCGGAAGTCGTTTATTGAGTTTGTTGTCTAATTTTATGGCAAACTTCGCCATAGACTCTACATCTTTGAACTCCTGACCGACCATGTAGAGCGATACCTCAGGCTTTAAACCTTGTTCAAATTGAGATAATAAGATATTAGGTGTCCATTTGACGATGAGGGATAGTTCAGAAAACTTTATCCAGTAGTCGGCGACAGCACGAGTTTGCTTCAAAGCTCTAATTTCTTGTTCAGCCTTGGCTACGCGTTCGGAGTCGAAGAAAGTGGCTCGAAACGATTCAACAAACTTAAGCCACGTGACGGGTTCGGCTACAGTGGGATCTAGGATTTGATCGGTGAGTGCCTGGCTCCACATGCTGGCTTTGCCCGTTAAGTATGATAAGGCGAATGCCACTTGGGCTTCTTCGTTGATGAACGACGCCGAATTCATCTTCATATATAGTCCTATTTGGTTCATAAAAACCTCGGCTTTGGATCCTTTAGATCCATCGAACTTGTCAGGTACAGCGATCTTAGGAGGTCGCACGACACCACTGCTTGCAGCAGGAGTCGGGATAGATTGAGCATGAGTAGCCTGATGTGGTGGCTGCATATTATTTGCATTCGCATGGCTTTGTTCCATTCTTAATAGCCTTTGCTCGAGTTCACGTCGACCATCTTCAGCTTGCTGACGAAGAGTTTCAGCTTCTTGTCGGCGAGTAGTTTCCTCAGTAAGACGAGTATTGAGATCATTGAGCTGTCTCATGATTGTGTCTAGAGTAATTTCCGACATAGAGGTATCGTCTTGTGTTTCGATAGAATCAAGGAATTCGTCAGAATCAAGGCCCTCGGAAGTCGGACTTTGTGGGGTTGTAAAGTTAGGCGTGGTGATAGAGTTGTAGGGTACGTGCTTCGGATAATCTTCTTTAACTTTTTAACTTTAAACTTTAAACTAATCTAATCTGATCTTGCATAAACTTTAATTTTCTTCTTGAATGCGGGGTTGTTCGATTGGTTATACTTTCGGAATCTTCTTAGCTTTACTTCGTTTTATTTGATCTTCTTCTTTTAGATTTTCTTTCTTTCTTGGATCTCTGATTTGTAGACGTTGCAATATGTTAAGGACCGTGATGCTTGAGAGATGCAAGGAAGCTGTGAAGGGTGTCCTCTAGTAGATAATAGATTGCAACGTGAAGAGCAGTAAAAAGTCTGCTCAACAGAACTCCAAGTATGCAGAGATCTCAGTACAAGCATATAGTCTAAGTATAAGAATACGGCTCATAACACATGTCATCCTTTTTTTTACATTTTTGGATAAAACACAAGCAAAAAATCATGCTGAGTAATTTTTCAAAAGTTTTTCCCACCAAAGCAACAGCAATGTCTACATCACCTCTGCCACACATTTTTTTTGAATTACTGCATTTCACCTCAAGCCATACAAAATGTCCGGCAACCCGTCCATTGGCAAGCCGTACATTGGTGCAATATACTGACAACTCCCCCAGTACACCTTATTACCAACACCATTTGCTGGAGCTAGTGTTGGCCTTGCATGTCCAGAGTGCCCAGGTATGGATGCATCACTAGTTTATACAAGCGCGGGTGAAGATACTATTAGGATTAAGGTGAGTACGCTTCTTCCCTTACCTAATCATACAAATCAGTACAAATACCTTGTACTGATTTGTGTCATTGTTATGGTCAAAATCAGTGCGCAAAATTGCCTTACTAGTGAACCTTCAAGCTCAATCAATTGAATCACAAGGTCACATTAATTAACGCCAGCGTCAAATACCCTATTCCGTTTGATGAATCTCAGCATGGACCCCCCGTCAACATTCACGGAGCCGCTTTGCAACCCCAAGTGATCCAAACAAAATCACAGGCCGGCACTTCAACACAACAAAAACAACCACCACCTGCTGTCAAGTGTGCTCAGCCAAGCCAAGGCCCAACTGCTGCCAGGCTTAAAAGTGCCAGTAATCTAGGTTGTACATCACATTATTGCAGATCAGTAAGTCAATCATTTGATTTGTTTGGAAGAATGGGTCAACCAAACCACTGACATACCTCCATGTAGTGTTTCATTGCTTTTGATGTTCCAGGCGGTTGCTACAAACATTGGCCAAAGGGACCAGACAATATCTGTCAGCCTCCTGCTCCAACAAACACTCCACAGCTACTTTGTTCCCAACCTGCCGCCATGTTACCAGAGCCAAAACAAACACGTGTAATACCTCCTGCTCAGTGCTCTCAAAGTGTCTGATGTGTTGGACACATTCTCCTGGAAGAGAGCCTCTCAGTTCTGCAACAAGCCAGACATGCACGCGCTGACACAGCCCGGAAGGCATTGAACCCTTTAATTGACAAAGGCAAGCTAGTGATGTCAACCAGAGAGGTTTTGCAGAGCAAAACCTCCAAGATTGACAAAGTAAGTAAGTACATAATTAAAATTAATACATGTAAATAAAAAGAAATATCACAACTCTATCACTCGAGTTTCAAGAGTGTAAAAAGAATAAACCAATACCTCGAGTTACCATTTCTAGAACCAAGGGTATAATTTAATTTACCCTTGGTAGAAGAAGAGTAAGCAACGAGAGAAATTTCAGCACTAACCTAGGCCAGGGTCTGAATAATGAAAGACCCTGACCAGGCTAAAGACAATGAGAAAGGGACCATATCGTTACCAAAACTACAAAACCCTGAACGAGACCAATACCAGAAGATAAGGGTTTTTACATGACATCATACAATGGTGACCAAAATTGGTATATAAAGAACTACAATTCTCACCAAATAATCGGATCATCCTTTATCACTTTTACCCATTTTTTAAAAAACCTTTTTACTTTTGAATTGATACTTGTTATTAGAAAATCCTTTTACCATCAAATTTCTATCACAAGCTTCATTCTGCTCAAAAGCAAAAATCCTTTTTTATCTTCTCCGTTTACTAAAACTTCCAACTCAGAAAGCGTTAGAGATCGTTTGGTGTGGCCCATTCGACTAAAGGCTTTCATCTGGAAACACCCCCTTTTTGATTCACCAAATCCACAAGCACTGAAGTGCCACCTGAAGAATAGATAGTTACCTTTAGCTATTTCTTTGGAAGACGTCCGAGAAGTTCAGCATCTCGTTCAGTACCTGGCAGCGGTAATCATCCCGCACCACAGACATCTGTAGTCAACAACTATAGATCAAATTCAACTTACTAAGAACCAAAAACCACGTCTCTGAGATAGATATCAACCAGAATCATTAGAAACCTACATTTAGTAAGTCCTATTCAGACTAGTTTACTACTCAAGTTATACTCAGTCTGACAAGTGAGCTTTCACTTTATCACCAAAATAAGTTTGCTACCTACTGCAAACTGAAGTGCTTGTCACCCTGACACCTTCATACCCTGCAGGAAACTAAAAATCTGGTCATTTCACATCTGTTTGAGTCATGGCCAGTTGCCATTTTGGACAAGTGTGAGTTGCTTGCCCACAAAATCAAAGAAGTTGCTGGGACCGCATGTGATGGAAATGTGCTTTTCTGGGATGAACTAGTCCAGAATTGGGTTGGTCCAATACATCAGATAGATATATTCCTCAATGTGACACCGAAGCTAAGGTGTAGTACATTGGTATTGAAACAAATCTAGCATGAAATTCCAATAATACATCCAAACAGCACGGCACTTGGTTATTTGTGTACCCAGCCATTGTTCAGGTCTCACTCAAAAGTTTCAGGAAGTGCTAGAAGGATTGGGACTGGGGAACCCCATTGTGCCAACCAATTTGACCAACAAAGGAACCAATTTGGATCCATCCACAGCAACCCAGCAATCAACCCAACCCATGAAATCAACCAATACCCTCACTCATACTCTTGAAGATTCCAATGAATGCCACAACAAGGATCAGCCACCTGTCACAGAGTCACGTCAGACCTCACCGGATCCGCCATCCAAGGTTCTTGAAGGCTCCACCTCAAATCCCATCTGTTTTGATTTGGACTTGGACTCAGACTGCAACCCAGATAGTCCAAACAAAAAAAAAGGTGCTCACATCTACACCTGATTTATTCAACCATATAGATCCAGCTCTACTTAATCAAGTCGGAGACCAGGTGGACCGGGCTTTATCTTCTCAAGTTGGCAAGCCAACACCAGTGTGTTGATATATTTCCTTCCATTCTCAATCTGTGAATGTGTTCCACTAAGTAAAACAAATCCTTTTTTCTTTGGTGTTTGCGGCACCAAAGAAATGTTCTCAATATTTTTAGGCCATTGCTATTTGCAGCCCACAAGAGAACCATGTAGGCGCTGCCAAAACAGCGCCTACATGGGTGTTTCCCACGAAAAAGCGCCTACATTTATGATGTAGGCGCTGAAAACCATCTAAAATGACGCCTACATGATAAACAACCCATGTAGGCGTCATTTGGTTACGCCTACATTCAAAATTTCAGAATGTAGGCGTAATTTTCAAGCACCTACATATCTAATTTGAAATGTAGGCGCTATTTTTGAGCGCCTACATTCAATTTTCAGCTCAAATAAGTGCCTACATGCAGTCTTGCATATGTAGGCGCTCCAAATCCAACACCTACAACTCCAGACTGGTCTGACGGCTAATGAAGAAGAAGTTTCAAGTTAAAATGAGAGTATTGGAAGATGGAAAAAGCAGTTTGGAGTTGAAATGAGTGTATCGGAAGATGGAAAAAGCAGCTTGGAGTTGAAATGAGTGTTTTGGAAGACGGAAAAAGCAGTTAAGCATATTGGAAGATGAATATGCTCTTTTCAACTCTGAAGTGAGTGTATCAGAAGACGTAAATAGCAGTTCAGAGTTGAGATAATCTACTTCTTTTTCCGCTTCTGATACACTCATTTTGACTCCAAACTGAGTTCAGAGTTGAAATAATTTACTACTTTTTCCGTCTTCTGATACACTCATTTTGACTCCGGAGTTACTTTTCCGTCTTCCCAACGCTGGGTAAGCTGCGCTTCAACGCGCTAACAGCCAGTTACTTGCAGTTGTAGCTGATATTGTTAAGGTCCCGCTCCGTCACCGCGTTAACGCACCTCTTTGAGGGCAAAAAGACAGGCCAAATCCCCGTAGCGCAGCTCCCAAAAGCTCCGCTACAGGCGTTAACAGCTGCGCTCGCGGTATTCCGGAGCTGCGCTGCGTCCACCGTTACAGCTACAGCTCCAGGGCCAAAACCGTAGCATGAAAAGAAACCAAAACAAAAGTAAATTAATTAAAAAACAAAAATAAACCTGATTTAATCAAATATAAGTGTATAACAAGTCTAGAGAAAGAAAGTTAAAGAATCTTTAAAGAGAGTCATGAAGATAAATAAAAAAATTGTAAAAGATGAAATTGAAAAGCAATAGAAAAATTTCTCAATTCATTGGAATTCCCATCATGTGGAAGACCTTCACCACGTCCTCGAAACCTATACCAAGCTCCACTCCTTCTCTCAACCATAATTTGCTCGACACAAGCATCTCTATGCTACGAGCGATTAAACTACCTCGACTAGCACAGCAGACGTCTGAGGCGCAAGAAAATATCCGTTCGGCAGCGCAGGAAGATCCAGTGGATGCCAGGTAGTCCTTGGCCATACGCGCAAGCACTCGATAAGATCTCTCATGGACCTATCCAACATATTAAGAGAACAATAAACATCTTCAGTTACATTCTCCAGGTCAAAATGAGTGAGATTGAGAGAAGCAACTCACTTTCCACCATTCTAGACTCGCATGGGGATCTTGTACATTGTAAGTATCAGCTTTCATCTTATCACTACCACGTATATAATTCTTTAATGCTAAATCTTCAGAAGCTTCAACCTCGGGTTCTTCTTCAGAGTCGCTGTTGAAGATATCTGGCTTTGGAGAGGAAGTTGCAGGATCCTTGGACGCTTTTGCTTGTTGGGAAGAAGTGGTTTGGTTGCTAACAGGGCCGGCCAGCTCGTATTCTCGATGTATACGTCGAAAAGTCGCTTCAGCTTTCATCGTGACAGCAGAATCAGCCCCAAACCATTTAACAAAAAATTTGAGCCTGAAAAAAGGGTGCAAAACCGTAGCCATGACTAGGGTTTCAAATTCAAGTGCCTCATTGAGATATTCGATTGTCTTGTCCTTCATCCTTGCAAGCATTGGATAAACACCGTCCGTTGTGCTGAGCGGCTCGATCTTCTTTTCGAGTGAATTTCGTAGCTCCACGTATTTCGGGATGACCATACAACCTGTTGGTCCGTCCCCTTCCATAGCGAGGGTGGTCTTCAAAAAAGGCTTGAGGTGACATGTAAAAAGATGACAGTAAAACAACAATGAGAAAGAAGTTATAATATAGATGAAATGTAAGGAATGAAGGACTTACCTCAAGCTCATCGTTGATCTTGCGAACTTGAGCCCATTTGGTGGTAGTCATTTCCAGTTCATGGAAATAGCCGTAAGGCTTCTTGTTTTTACGAGCAGGTCGATTTTTGGCGTGAACTATGTTCAGGTCATCTCGACATAATTGATCGATGACCTTGAAATCATGTTGATGGTCAGTCAATGTTCTTGAAAAAGTATAAGTAGATAAAAATTTAAAACCTACATCTCGAGCAAGCCACACTTTGTGGCGGCTAATATATTTAATATTCCATCTGATTCCATAGCCAGCTATGAGCGAGCCACTGAAGCCTTTCTGTTTACTTACTCTTGCAAATTCATTACGCCAGGCCGCAGAACGGGTAATTCGGCGTACGATGAAGTCAACCTTGGGGATAAGAAACAAAAACAAAAAATTAACTTCGATGTTTGGTAGAGAAAATTATGGAAAGTTTGACTTACCTTGCGCAAAATGAAATCCACGTGGTTTGCCTCTCGTCGGTGGGTCGGCTGTGCTTCTTTATCTTCAATTGTAAGTTCCGGACACGCCTCATCTTCAACATCAGCCTTGTCCCATTCGGACTCGTCATCAAGGTCAGCAACTACTTCGGGTGGTGTATCCAGATCTTGTAAGTCATGTTCAACATCTTGATCATCTGAATCAGCCGGTTTAGATCGCACACGAACTATCGGATTGGAATGTGGCTCTGAGTCTTCTGGAAGGTCTTCCTCTTCTTCGGCAATAGTTTCGAAGATAGGAAATCGACCTCTTTCGGTTTCCTTCGCCTTCATCGGTGGAGGTGCTTTAACACCTAAGGCTTCCAAGCCTGCGTTGACGATCAACGCAATCTTGTGACAAAAACAAAATACGTGCATACAATTAGGGTCCCACT